AGTATATATGTATGTATAATATATGGAATCAAGGCCCATGTTATTTATTTTTCTTTCTTGATTTTAGAGAGAGAGGAAGGGAGAGTGAGAGAGAGATAGAAACATCAATTAGAGAGAACATCGATTGGCTGCCTCCTGCTTGCCCCTCACTGGGGATCAGGCCCACAATCTGAGTATGTGCCCTGACCAGGAATCAAACAGGTGACCTCTTGGTCTGTGGGTTGACGCTCAGCCACTGAGCCACACCGGCTAGGCAAGGCTCATGTTATTAAATTTGTTTTAGTCTAATTGTTGAATGGTTAATAATTCTTTATCATTTATTTCTAGATATAATTTTGAGATTTTTAAAAATCATATTTTCTGTATTTGGAAGTTGAATTTTTATGTTAATAAGTCAATTTAAATTATAAATTGAAAAAGCAAAAATGATTATGTTTAATACTTCTTTAAGTTATTATTAGAAGTTTTTTTTTTTGGTGTTTTTTTTTAATCCTCACCCGAGGACATTTTTTTTTTTGTTCAGATAGAGTAGGAGGGAGAGAGAGAGAGAGAGAAACATCGATGTGAAAGGGACACATCGAGTGGCTGCCACCCGCATGACCAACCAGGGCCGGGGACAAACTGCAACCAAGGTACATGCCCTTAGCGGGAACTGAACCCGGGTCTCTCGGGACCGCAGGCCGATGCTCTAACCACTGAGCCAAACCGGCCAGGGCTAGAAGTTATTTTTTGAAAGATTATTGCACATTTTCCTCCTCAGTTATGCAAACAGGAAAATTTTATTAATTTTTTTCCTTGCCCTGGCCGGTTTGGTTCAGCGGTTAGAACGTCGGCCTGCAGTCCAGAGAGACCCGGGTTCGGTTCCCACTAAGGGCGCGTACCTCGGTTGTAGTTTGTCCCTGGCCCTGGTTGGGTTGTGCAGGTGGCAGCCACTCGATGTGTTCCTTTCACGTCAATGTTTCTCTCTCTCTCTTCCTCTCTCTCCCTCCCACTCTGTCTAAACAAAAAAAAAAGGAAAAATGTCCTGGGGTGAGGGGAAAAAAAAAATTTTTTTTCTTTATTTATTTTTTGTTTTTAGAGAGAGAGGAAGGGAGAGGGAGAGAGAGATAAAAACATCGATTAGAGCCCGGCCAGTGTGGCTCAGTGGATGGATGAGCGTCAACCCATGCACCAACAGGTCACCAGTTCGATTCCTGGTCAGGGCACATGCCCCGGTTGGGGGCCTTATCCCCAGTGTGGGGCATGCAGGAAGCGACCAATTGATGTTCTCTCTCATTGATGTTTCTATCTCTCTCTCTCCCTCTCTTTCTAAAAATCAATAAAGAAAAAAAAATTTTTTAAAGGAAAAAGAAACATCAATGAGAGAGAACATCGATTGGCCACCTCCTGCATGACTCCACTGGGGATTTGGCCCACAACCTGGGCATGTGCCCTGATTGTGACTCAAACTGGCAACCTCTTCGTGCACGAGTCAGTGCTCAACCACTGAGCCACACTGGCTGGGCACAAACAGGAAAATTTTAGAAAACAACTTAGGTCAAAGCAATTACATACCAAGTAATGAGTAATATAAAACATTATTTTGTGCCTGGCCAGAGTGGCTTAGTGGGTTGAGCATCATCCCATGGACTGAGAGGTCCTGGTTTGATTCCCAGTCAGGACACATGCCCGGGTTGTGGGCTTCATCCCCAGTAGGGGGCATGCAGGAGAGCCAATCCATGTTTCTCTCTCACATGATGTTTCTGTCTCGCTCCCTTCCTCTCTCTCTAAAAATCAATAAAAACGTATTTTAAAAAAAGAAAGAAGCCCTGGCCAGTTTGGCTCAATGGTTAGAGCATCAGCCTGCAGACCAAAAAGTCCCAGGTTTGATCCCTACCAAGGGCATGTACCTCTGTTGCGGTTAGTCCCCGGTCCTGGCTGGGTCATGTGCATGGTGACCAATTGTTGTGTCTCTCTCACACCGATGTTTCTCTCTCTCTCTCTCTTTCTCCCTCCCACTCTGTCTGAAGATACAGTCGGCCCTGGTTTATCATGGTTAATCAGTTCCAGACTCTACCACAATAAATGAATTTCCACAAAGTAGGATTCTTTCTTTACTATACAGTCTGTCCCTCGCCATTTTGCGCTTCCACGGTCACGGCTTCCCTCTATCATGTTTTTTTCAAATACAGTACAATATAGTATAGTAAACTGCAGTAGAGTGAAGCCGCAACCTTGGAAGCGCGAAGTGGCCAGGGATGACTGTAAATGTAAAAATATCCTCAGATGAGGATTAAAAAAAAAAAAGGAAAAGGGGAACTTAGATACTGTACAATCCATTGTGACATAAGGAACTACTGCTATATATGGCTTTATATATATATATTTTTTTATCCTCACCCGAGGACATTTTTTCTTTTTTTGTTCAGATAGAGTAGGAGGGAGAGAGAGAGAGAGAAACATCAACATGAAAGGAACACATCGAGTGGTTGCCACCCGCACAACCCAACCAGAGCTGGGGACAAACTGCAACCGAGGTACATGCCCTTAGTGGGAACCGAACTCGGGTCTCTCTGGACCACAGACCGAAGCTCTAACCACTGAGCCAAACCAGCCAGGGCAATTTATTTATATATTTTTGACATAGAAAACTTTTGGCCTCTTTGCCTGTGGTACTTGGGAATTTTACATACACCCCTTTGGGGTCACACATCAGTTTGGGTTTTACGTGACAGATGTGTGACTGTGCTCTTTACCTTTAGGAGCGGAAGTCCTGTACGTTAATTTGTCATTTGAAAGCACAACTAGAATTTTTCCTTTTTGAAAATTCTCAGGCTGGTTTTCAGAGTAAGCAGAGATCACTGGCAGTGGGATGTCAGTCATTTAAAGATGCTAAGGGAAATTATGCTGAGACCAAGCACCCTTCCTCTGGATTACTCTGCCATGCTTTACTGTCACTGTCCCTCTGTCCACATTCTGTTTCCCTCTGCAGCCTAGAAGCTTCCCAAAGGCAGGGAATACTATAATTAGTGTATGAATTAATAATGCAAGAGAGCCCTGGCCAGTTTGGCTCAGTGGTTGGAGCGTTGGCCTGCAGACCAGAGAGTCCAAGGTTCAGTTCCCGCTAAGGGCACGTACCAAAAAAAAAATCTGTATGCTTCATCTGTTAATAAATAGTTTATATGTCAAAAAAAATAATAATGCAAGAGAAGGAAGGAAAAAAGAAAGAATCAATGAATGAACCAACAAAATTCTAGAAAAATGAAAGGGCACAAAATGAAGTTCTTAGACTTGGCCACCTGGTGGCATTATTTCTCTATATAACCACAAGTGGGTGTTGCTAGAGCAAAGGAAAGGATTTAGATTAGAAATGAATAAAGGTTAAAAAAAAAAAAGAAAGAAAGAAAGAAAGAAATGATCAGAGGACCAGATATTTCAAATGGATATCAGAACTCTGGAATTCTGACCCAGCATTTTTTTCTCCAAGCCAAGAGAAAATAAGTCTAATGCATTAAGTAGACACCTTCACTGCTGGATTGGCAAGATGACTCCTGGATGGGTGAAAGAGTAAACATGGGCAGTTCTGTAGGCCAGGAGGTAACCCGTGGGATTCATCTGAACTTGGGCTGGACAGTTCTCTTCTGCCACCCAGTTCCTTGCTGAAAAACCCAAACATCCTGGCATTCGTCTGGATCTCTTAGGGTTCATTAAACCCACTGCTGCTTTAGTGTCCTGAAGAGCCCCTCTCCTCCCCCAGAACTCTAAGAGAACTGAGCATCAAACATTGTAATTAGTTGGCAGAGGCCAGGAAGGTGTTGAATATTTTGAAATCCTTGAAAAAGCCTCACTCTTCTCTCTACCTACCTCCCACCCCTTTTGCCCCATCACAGCAAATTCTGCGAAGGGTAGGGATATGGGCACAAAAAGGGAGGGCCCGATGAAGCACTTTTCCTGTTAGGACTGAGATCATGGGGAGACAGGATGAGGTGTGGTGAGGGTGTATCTCAGGATCCACAGCTCTGAAATAGGGTTTGGGATTGGAGAAGAGAGTGGGGGATGCTGTGGACTTCTGACTCCATAGACTAGAGCAGCAAAGGTGCAGAGGCCGTGAAGTGATAGAAGTTAACAGGATCAGGAACAGAAGTGAGGGCATGCCCAAGTCCACTCAGGTCCTCTCAGGCTGTTCCCAGTAGGAAGAGAACAGGAAGCTGTGACTTCTCCCCTTTCCCTCCCTGCCCTCAAGGTCACTTGCTGCTGCATTGAATTAAACCTGTGTTTTAATTGGCACTGTTCCCTGGGCTTGGTGGTAATTGCTTAGTACTCTGCTCCCTTCCACCACAAACACCCCAAACTTTTCTTTGAAATAATAATCATTTGTGAAATATCAACATACAAAGTGCTTTGTTTTTACACATATTATCTAATCATCACACCAGTCCTGTGAAGCACAGACTTATCTGAACATTTTAAGCAAAAAACTGAGGCTCAGGGGGATAAAGTAACTCACCCAAAGACATGCAATTGAGTGAATACCAGATTTGGGCTCCAGAACACCTCTCTCTCTCTCTCTCTCTCTCAGACACCCATTCTGATTCCCTGCCAAATGCCCCCTCCCAGGCCCTAAGGAAGCACTGTCTGCAGAGAAGGGGGGTCCTGCACACTGGTAGGAAGAGAAGCTGCAGTTTGTTTCCCGTTATCCCTGCGATGGGGTATCTCTGGTTCTCTCCCTGGGGTGGAGGCTTGGAGCTGCTCTTCATGGTGGGGAAATTCTCCCTTCTCTCCTCCCTCTCTACCACATAAAGCCCTTCCCACACACACACATATACACACACCAATGTCTGGCCCTCTCTTACCCTGCCCCACCCACCACCAATCATGACCAACAGGGATGGGGTGGGTTGCTCCATCCACACCCTGCCCTCTGAGGTTTGGAGCCTCCTGCTGAGAGCCCCAGGTATCCACTGCCAGTCTGGCACTAGGCTGGCTCCACTGTCCAACACTGTATCCTCTGATGCCCTGAGATACCCACACCCAACACCTCTGCCACCCTGCCTACTTTCTGGATCAGTATTTCTGCCAGCAGTGTGCTGAGTGTGGATGCTGCTGTGATGCCTTCCCTGAGGATTGTGGTTGCCCTGACCTATGGGCTTGTAGGAGCAATTGGATTACTAGGAAATTTGGCTGTGCTGTGGGTGCTGGGTAACTGTGCTTGGTGAGCCCCTTGCCTGTTGTCTGACACTTTTGTCTTCAACCTGGCTCTGGCAGACCTGGACTGGCACTCATTTTCTCTTTCTGGACAGGTGAGTTGGATTTCCACTGGTCCTTTGGAGGTACCCTCTGCAAGATGGTTCTGATGGCCACTGTTTTCAACATCTATGCCAGCATCTTCCTCAACATGGTGCTGAGTGTTGCTCAATACTGGGTGGTGGCGATGACTGTAGGACCAGGCACCCACCTTTCCCTCTTCTGGGCCTGCATGGCCACCCTGGCAGTGTGGGTGGCAGCTGCCCTGTTGACAGTGCCCATGGCAGTCTTTCCACTGTGCCAGCCCCACCTTCAGCCTCTTCACCCCCTTTCTGCATCTCTCACCTCACTGTGCCCCACCCACATCCTTGACTTGTTATTATCTTCACTTTCCCTCTAAATCCTGACTTAAGGAGAGACACACACAGACTTCCAGCCAACACCAGGGTTTTACACTTGGGGCTTGGCTGGTACCAGGGATCCATATGGCATCTTCCTGCAGGGGAACTACAGCTTTTGCAGCTGAGGTGTTTGAAGCCACCAAGTGTCTGTGGGCACCACTGAGAGGATAAAAGGGTGGAGATGGTCAGGGAAGGAGGAAACTTTTGGCCCTGGCACCAGAGAAAGACAAGTGTATATCCTGTTTGAGATGAGAGGCCGGAAAGACAGGCAGAGGGAGATAAGCTAGGTCCTGACTTCTGATCCATGAATCTAGAACCCCTTAGGTAAAATTTCCTGGAATTCTCACAGGAGGCAGAGGTGGCACAAAGAATGCTTTTGTCCACACTGAACTGGAGGTGGAATTGGGATAAAGAGTCAAACAATTTGGGGATGATCCAGATGTTTATTTTTAGAGGGGGAGGTGTGGGGTGTGCGTCTGTGCCTGCTGTGCTTCTCCAGCAGGTATTGGTTGGGGACCTACCAGTTGCAGAGGGCATAATCACCCCCAGCGACCTGCTGTGGCTGGCCTTTCTGTGGCGGCAGTGATGGTGATGGCAGGACAGCAGCGTCATGGCCCGCTCTGTCTGCATCCTGGTGGTCTCCTCCTTCCTCTACTGGTTCCCCACTACACTGTGGGGTGTCCTGGTGAAGTTTGACCTGGTACCATGGGACAGCACTTTCTACACCATCTATACCTATGTCTTCCCTGTCACCACCTGCCTGGCACACAGCAACAGCTGCCTCAACCCTGTGCTGTTCTGTCTCCTACGGCAGGAGCCCTGACAGGCCCTGGCAGACACCTTCATGGATCTTTGAGCATGGCTGTGGCCCCAGAACTGAGGCTGGATGAAGCAGGTGGCTTAAAGGATGTAGGCAGGCAGGCAGGGGAGAGCACCTCCCCAGGAGAGTGGCCCTTCTGCCACGCTTGCCAACTTGGACAAAGGACTACTTGGGTGAAGGTACTAGGGAGAGGCGGCCTGTCTGTCAAGATGCAATGCCCTTATGGAAAGTCTGATCTTCAATCCCGATCTGGGTGTGGTGGAATAGGGGAGGCCAGGCCCAAGACAGGGCTGGGTATGACAAAGCTTAGTCTCCATTTGGAGGTAGGAAAGAAGAGGATCTAAAAATAAACATCTGGCCCTGACTGGTTTTCTCGGTGGTTAGAGCGTTGGCTTGCAGACCAGAGTCTCAAGTTCGATTCTGGTCAAGGGCACGTACCTTGGTTGCGATTTGGTCCAGGTTCTGGTCAGAGTCAGGAGGCAACCAGTCGATGTGTGTCTCTCACATCAATGTTTCTCTCTCTCTCTCTCTCTCTCTCTCTCTCTCTCTCCCCCACTCTATCTGAAGATAAATGGAAAAATATCCTCAGGTGAGGATTTAAATAAATACATATAAATAAAAATAAACATCTGGATCATCCCCAAATTGTTTGACTCTTTATCCCAATTCCACCTCCAGTTCAGTGTGGACAAAAGCATTCTTTGTGCCACCTCTGCCTCCTGTGAGAATTCCAGGAAATTTTACCTAAGGGGTTCTAGATTCATGGATCAGAAGTCAGGACCTAGCTTATCTCCCTCTGCCTGTCTTTCCGGCCTCTCATCTCAAACAGGATATACACTTGTCTTTCTCTGGTGCCAGGGCCAAAAGTTTCCTCCTTCCCTGACCATCTCCACCCTTTTATCCTCTCAGTGGTGCCCACAGACACTTGGTGGCTTCAAACACCTCAGCTGCAAAAGCTGTAGTTCCCCTGCAGGAAGATGCCATATGGATCCCTGGTACCAGCCAAGCCCCAAGTGTAAAACCCTGGTGTTGGCTGGAAGTCTGTGTGTGTCTCTCCTTAAGTCAGGATTTAGAGGGAAAGTGAAGATAATGACAAGTCAAGGATGTGGGTGGGGCACAGTGAGGTGAGAGATGCAGAAAAGGGGTGAAGAGGCTGAAGGTGGGGCTGGCACAGTGGAAAGCATGGAAAGTGGTGCTAGTCTCCTTCGCTCCCCCAGGGGCTTCACCTGGATTCACATTCTAGCTCTGAGGGAACTGGGTAAGTTATTTTATTTCTCTGTACGTTTTCTCATCTGTAAAATGGGCTGCTGCCTGAAACAAGAGTGTTCTCTGACCCTCCTTCGGGGCAGGAAGTTCCCCTTTAATTTCCAGACCCACAGAGACTCAAGACTCAGCAACAATAAAGGTTGGCCATCACAAGGGACTTTCGGGGGTGGGGGGCAGCCCCTGGAAAGGTGGCAGAAAGAAGATGGGATGGAGCTCCCACTTCCATTGTCACTCGCTCCAAGCTCTGGCATGGCTTATAACCCAGAACAACTCTAGCCACGCAAGGTCAGCTGGGAGCAGTGCCTGTGTGGAGCTGCTCGAGGGCAGCACAAGGCCTGTAGGCACTCCTGCACCAGTTCCATCTGGTTGCTGAGAAGAGGCTGCGAACAGCCACCCAATTCACCACATTATTAAGCAATAATAAAGAGATTTAATTAGCCTCTTGATGTTTAATTTCCTCTTTTTGATAAAGTTTAAGCTGTTTCTAAAACTCCAGGTCTGTTGCCAGCCAATTCAGGATGGGAAATCCTTACCTACCTAAGTACCCTTTTGCCACCCCACCCCCAGCTCCTCCAATGGCCCTGCCTCTGCCGGGCTCCAGATACTGCCCCTCTAGGAGCCTCTCTGCTTTATGGGACCCAGAGGTAAATATTGACCAAGTTTAAACAGGTCCAATCCAGAGATGAATGCACGTAGGCTTACCCTTAGAAGGGGTGGGGAAGGCAGGGGAGGGTGCAGCGATGGAGGGTGGCTGGGCAGCTCCTCTAGAATGGAAAGGCATTACTGTGGCAAAAAGCTGGGCCCTGGCTCCCTAGTAGCATGAAGCCAGGGAGATTTGAAACTGCAGGAGGGACAGAGTTGACTGGAGTTTCCAAAAAGGGGATTAGGGAAGGGGCAATGTGACATCTTGTTTCCAAGGATGAGGAGGGCTTTTTGGTCACAGGGCCACAGGAGGGGCAGAGCTGCCAGGAAGAGCGGTGGGTTCACACATGTTGACCAGCATCCTTCACTGGGTCCCTGTGAACTTGTGGGAGGAGCCTGTGTTCCCTTCTGTGGTCTTTGGGTATAATCTAACACCCTCCTCCCACCCAGCATCGGTCTTCCTCTCTCCTCTCCACCTTTACAGCCTTGGGTCCCAGCTGACAGAGCAGAGGGTGCTGAGCCATGTGTCAGTGTTTGACACCTGGAGCTCTGATATTTTTAGGCAGAGTTGAAGGGCACAGGTAGTGAAGGCTGCAGCTAGGAGGGCTGACCCATGCCTGGCAACTTCTCTGCATCTAGATTTCCACATCTTTAAAATGACAGCAATTCCTACTGCAGATTCTGTAAGGGATGAACAAGTACCTTGTAAAGGCCTGATGCTGGTGGATGAGAATCACAGGAGTGGAGGCTGCTGGCTACTCTTCTAAGCCTGCCCCCCACCATGGGATCCCAATTCCTCATTTTAGCTGAGGTCTTAAACCCCCTTCTTCTCATCTCACCCCATCAGCTCCCACAGAGATATGTACACCTATGCCAGCATTTCTACAACCCTAGACACACCTCCCCCCATAGCCCCAGAGTAGGGTATTAACCAGAAACAGGAAGTAAAATTAATCAAAATGAGAACTGAAATTAACCTAATCTCTCACTGCCTCAAGTAGCCAAAGAACAAAGGAGCAGCTCCTCTTGGGGAACCATCTTGAAGAGGTTACCCCAGGCTCTGACACTATGAAGAACCAAGGCAGAGTGGTGGCTGAATCTGAAAACAAATGGCACTGAGGCTCAGAGGAACTGTGCCAAAAGGGAGGGAAGGGGGCAAGAGGCTGATGCAGTTTCTGAGCACAAGCATGCAAATGAGATGAAAACAAGTTTTCTAAAATTGGAATCCCCAACAGCCACTGGCATCTAAATACCCCTTATTCTTGCGTTTGTGAATATCAACGATGACAAAAATAAATTGGTAGCCGTTTCTTTTGTTAGAGTCCACTGTCTTCAGTGAGGCCATCTTACCCTTCCTGTGAGATTGGCCCCTTTCGGAGGAACACAAGTCACTGCCTGGCTTTCCTCAACAGCACCATCAGAAACAGCAGACTGCCCTGGCCGGTTTGGCCCAGTGGTTGGAGCGTCAGCCCGCAGACCAGAGAGTCCTGGGTTCGGTTCCCAGTGAGGGCACAAACCTCGGTTGCGGTTTGTCCCTGGCCCCGGTTGGGGTCCTGTGGGTGGTGACCAGTCGATGTGTCTCTCTCATTGATGTTTTTTTCTCTCTCTCTTCTCCCCTCTCTCCCTTCCGCTCTATCTGAAGATGAATGCAAAAATGTCCTCGAGTGAGGATAAAAAAAAAAAAGAAAAAGAAACAGCAGACATTCAGAGATAGCACTTCAGGGGTTTCAGGTTTTTAATTTTCCTTGCTTTATCTTTTTTTTTCCTTCTTTTTTTTTTTACAATCAAATTGGCAGAAAAATGGCTGAGGTTGGTGGGCACTGGGGGTCCACTGAAAATTCCCCCAATTCATGCTGAGGTTTCAGGTCATGGTGAGGTGAGGATAAGGTCAGGGTTCATAGAGATTTCCCAACTCACCCTAGAACTTTGTTTCCAAATGGCTGGGGAAGAGGTCAGACTAGGTCCCCCATTACTAAGGATGAGGGGTGAAGTCATTGTTTCCCTCATCCCTCAAGTTCTTCAGATGTGGAAATAGAAGGCTGCAATTTCTAATTGCCTACAATCTTCTCTTAAAAATATAAAACACGTGCAGTTGGCTTTGGTACAAAAAAAAAAAAGAAAGAAAGAAAACAATAACAAAAAGACATTCTGGTCCCTGTGGGCTTTTCCCTCAGCCCCAACAGACCATTGTGGCCATCTCAACCTCTATTCCATCAACTCTAGGAAGCCAGGTTGTCTCCTGGGGTTCCACTGAGGACAGAGAGAAGAGAGAACAGCAGTTAAGAGGTTGAGGAGAGAGGGATATGGCCCTGCCCACAGCCCTTCTTAAGGGGCAATATTGTCCTACAGCTGCAGCCGCTCCTCAAAGACGGTGTTGCTGGGAGGGTGTCAGGGCTAGAACCCAGCAGCTGCATGGTTAAGTCTGAATAAACCCCAGTAGTGTTAAAGGACAAGGCCCCTTGATCCCTATGGCTTGGTTCCCATGTCCCTGGTCCTCTAACTTTCCCCTCTCCCTCCATAACTAATAAACAATAAATAAATAAATTTTCCTAAAATAGAAGGAAGAAGGCATGGAAAAATTGGCATCTGTGGTGTAACTTCTGGATGCCACCAGGGGGCACTGTGGCCCAATTCCCCCAGCTTTCCCAAATGGCCCCAGGTATCCAAGGATCCCAAGAGCTGGCAAGGACAATCAGCAGTTCAAGTGTTCCCTGGTCATCGGCAGATTGGAGCCCCCGAGGTTCGCCTCCCCCAGTTATGTTCTTCAGGAGGCACAGGAAGGAGGGAGGGGCTCCCTTAGCTCTCTGAAGTTACAGGCTCCCCATCACGGCTCTCGGTCTCCTCTGGGATGTCCTGCATTCGGGTGAAATCTGAAGGGGATAGGGCAAGTTAGTGAGTGAGCAGAAGCTCCCATGAGCATCCCTACACTAATGCCTCCTCATCTGTGGGCTCAGGAGCTCTGAGTGCTGTGAGGGATGGCCAATGTCTGTGAATGCTTGGGTGAGGGAAAAACCTCTGTTAACAAAGTAATGTGCCCACACCTGGGTATTTTATACACTTGGTAAGTATATGAAGATACAATTCGATCAATAAAAAAATATTTTAAGATTACTATATGAAGTTATAGTAGCTTTTGGTTATTTTGTATTTCCAGAACCAACTATAAGAACTTGGAA